CACACACACACACACACACACACACACACACACACACACACACACACAAAAAAAAAAACTTTTTTAAATATAACATTCACACAAATACATGTACACTCAAAGTTTCACACTCACCCAACCCAGAATCTAACCCACAGACAATAGTATTTACATTTAAGGCACATAAAAAACCCTATGTACACAGTAAATTAAAACAAAACATTATATTGTTCAGTCCCTGTAGCCTTTTGGTTTTGGATGACACCTGTTTCTCATTCATTTTACCCATAAAGCATATTAAAATACAGTATCTCATWCAGCAACACGCTGTAAGCTGAAAAGAGGGATCTATCCATCTTCAGCCTCCTGTCAAGGCTACATCACTGCTGATTGTCCTGCTTTTGTCAAGGATGTTGTCAAACCATGGCCGTCAAAATTGATGCTTTCTCCCTAAGTATCTCTTGCTTGCAAGTGGTCTTTATTCTAAATGAGCCCAAAGTAATCAGGAGTAAAGACATGTTTGAGAACGCCGCTTCAGGCCTTTCACGAGGTTTCACAGGTCTGCGGTGGTTCCAGTCCCATCCCAGTCAAAGACACAACCTGGAAGCTGAGAACAAGCGTACAGGACTTCAAAGTCTTCAGTAGGAGTCAGAGTCAGAACTCAAAGGAAGCTCAGTCAGTCTTTGGTGTCTTATAGGAAAAATATCAGTAGATTTCCTTTGAGTGCAAAACACACAGTCCACCATCCTGAGGCAGAAAGTGATCATTTTCATCAACAGCTGAGAAACATCCAGCTACGCATTTTTTTTATATATACCCGCGTTTTGTGTTTGGAGGTGCCGGGGGGCAGATTTTATCCCAGCATGTACTTGGGGGTCTAACTTACAAAAAGAAAAGGATGGATTTAAGCTATTAAACAGTTTTTAACGATTAAACTTTGGATACATTGTTGCCCGTCGCAGCTAACGCTTAGCCTGAAATGGTAAACTAATATTGTGTGCTCAGAAAGCATCTGAGACTTCTCAGACCTCATCAAGCAGCAGGATTCACAGCTCCCAGAGGCAACAAGCAACACACGGCCGATTACTATCAACGGCAGCAAACGCATCTGATTATTAGCACCAATAAAAGGCAGTTAAATGAGTGTTTCTGAGGTTTCCATCCCAAGAATCTGTCAAAGTAAATCCAACATGCTGCTGCTGGCATGGGCTCGTGGTCATCTGTGCAGTTTGTTGTAAAGTCCGAAATTAGTCTTCAAAGATGCAGAAATATTTAACTTGATAACAATCCCAAACTGGGAAAAAAAACATTCATTTGGTTTGGAATTTTTTGGGATTTAGTTTTCTTCTAGTGCAGCACAGTGGAGTTCTAGTAGTCTCTCTTTCACACAACTCTCAACCTGCTCTCTGATCACGTTCCATCATGTTCCTCCATTGCAATCACATGGCCAGAWATTTGCGGGGTTTGTGGGTTAGGTATTCTAGAGGCCGGTTAGGCCTCAGAGGCAGCCTGTGGTTTGAGCTGTGCTTTCTCCATGGCAGTGCCGTAAGGTACGGATCGCTTGAAGAAACCAAGCTGTAAAGAAAAACAAAAAAGTAAACAGGAATAAGATCTAACCTGATCAGCTCATCTGCAATGCCTTTAATACTTGAGTGAAACAGAGAGTTTTCACTGACCCTGTAGAGGACGTAAATAAGGAGAGCCAGAAGCAGCAAACCAGCCAGGATGGCCAGGATGATGATCCACAGAGGTACTGAGTTCTCAATGTCAGGCTTGTTCCACACCACCGGGGTCACCACCTGAAGGTGAACGACAGATTCTCAGTATAAAGTGGACCAGGTGGAAAAGAACGAGAAAATTAAACCTGTTAAATACCTTTTTGTGTCCGGTCGGAAAATGTTTCGGTGGGATTGCATAGGGCATCTTTTTCACACTGTATCTGGCCAGACACTCCAGCACATACTGCTTGTAAGCCTTCTGAAGAAACAAACATAAAAAAGAAAGAATAATGCATGTAGTGCTGCGGAGATGCACAAGGTGGAGACACAGACCGAGTGTCTCCTAAAGCCTCTAAGGGCTCGCAGTCACGTGAGTGGCTCTAACTACCAGATAATGAATTTCCAATACATCACACATGCTCGGTGTCACGATCTGCAGGAGGTGGGACAAATCTGTCTCTGGTTCAAATAAGACAAGCAAGTTTTGCACCAACATAAAGTCTGCAAACTAACATGAACTAACTTCATCACCATCTTGAGTCGAATGTGTAAAAACGAACAGTCTGGCAGATTTAGAGACAGTTTTACATAAATTTGTTTGCATTTGGTTTGAAACTTCTTTTTTTCTTGACTCATTAAAGAAAAATAACACATATTGGTCCCAGCCACAGTCTGACATGAGAAAATACACAAGTACTGGATGCAAGAGATGAATGTAAAGTGTGCAATATTTCCTCTGCTCTAAATTAATGTACAGAACCCGAAAAAGTTCTTCTAACCTCAGTGAAGGTCTTAGCCCAGATGCGGGAGCGCATTTTGAGGATGGCAGTTGTTCCCTTCTCCAACAGGCCCACGTTACACTGCAGCATCCAGCACTCCACATTAGAGCAGGACTGTGGAAGCACAGAATGTTGTACATGAATTAAACCCATACTGGGATAAACTCACTGCAAAATGAAATTTCAGAAAGCAAAAAACAAAAGATACGATACAACAGTCGTGTTAATGTTTCAGGTTGCATAAATGTAACAAAAAGCCCAATGTTATTATCCCGATTCCACGGCTGCTTCAAATTAGACTGAAGGAATGTCATGAGACTGTAAAAATGCAGCAAGCACCACTTGCCACATTATTGCCCAACCACTAAAACCAGCCCATTTTTCTCAAGGCTGTAGAATACACAAACCTAATTAAATCGCAGTAATGCAGCTTTTAACGTTCTAAAACATGAACACTCTCTCCCGTGGAGCTGCTGCTGCAGCTAGACCACCCTGAGACTGGGAGGGTGTGTTGGGTTTTTCTGCGGGAGCGTATAAGTTCACTTTTTACATCCAGTAGGAAAAACACAAGAGAAGAGGAYCAAACCCACCCAATGGCTTTAGGCTCGGTCTTAGACTTAAGACAGGAAAGTATCAGTCTGCTTCCTGCTGGTGGATCTGTGTAATGATTTGGTCAGCGAGGCCGCCTATGTCTGAGAAAATTACATGAATAGTTGAGGTTCAAAGATTCCTCAGACCCACATCTCACATTTCCTCCCTGATGGAATTATACGAGTTATAGGTTGTTCCCACAATTTATTAAAACAACATTCTGACCCGACGGCACTGCTGCTGTGTGAAAGCGGCACATAGAGGCTGGCACTTTCGGAAACTACTCTAAATTTAGCCTCGACGGTATTGTCCCTTAACAAAGCCCCTTTTTCCTTTGCAACACTTTATCTCCAGATCCAGACCAAATTTTAATGGGCCATTTCCTTTGATCATTTCAAAGTTTCAGGAAAATAGACATGGTATTTCACCAATTATCCTGATTACAAAGAACCACACAATCCTTTGCTTTGGCTCCAAACTTGGTGGTAGACAAATAGTTTATTAATGACTGATTTGAAAGGAATTTTGGGAAAATTACKATTTATCTATTGTTTGTTGCAGCTTTATTTTATAATTGTAAAACATGGCACAATCATTTTTTTTGCCAAAAATATGAATGTGAAACCTGTCTTCTATGACATTCTTGAATATTTTAAAGATCAGCCACAAGAACGACAGTAAACCAATAATAAAAATACTTACGCTTTTTATACTTTCTAACATTTCATTTACTTTGAATGAATATTTACAGTGCATTACTGTTACTTTGATTTCCTATAGCTTGTGGTAGAAAGCTGACAGTAGTTCAACTTTTCAAGTGACCGGTCTAGATGCCAATCAATCACATTATCTGATTAACGTTAATACACTTTCATATGTTCCTCCTGCCCACTATCAATCACCAACAATCAGATAAGGTCAAATTTTGTTTTGCTCGAAAAGCCATCAGTCATATTTAACCTCTCAGAACCAATGCTCACTTGGTGAAACAAAGCTAAAACCCGCATCTCCCTGGGCTGACAGTTGGCAAGTAGTCGGTGACTCAGAATAGTGACAATATTTCAAGAAAACAGAAGTATTTTCAGTCGTGGTCTCACTGAATTTTGAGTGTTTGCAATCAGTATCAGTGAGGTTGTGTTCCGTAAAGCCAATTCTTTAAATTTACAGTCTATTTTTGTGTGTACAGCTAGTATTCTAGGCCATGCACATTATTTCTTTGCACATTTCTGCTCATGTTGTACCACTTTGTACCCAATTTGGCAGCCTCCGCCACATTTATTATTTAATGTACCAGAGTTCATTTTGGTAAGCCTGAACAGTTTTTTTTTTTTTTTTTTTTTGATGATTGTTAATGACCGTTGATGTAGTTTTTAGACCTGGGCATTTGGGGGGAGATGATTTTCATCATAAAAAGCTCTAGTTGCTGATGTCAAAACACAGCTCTAGTGCACAAGAATTATAGAAACTAAATTGAGAAGGGTTCAAGACCAGTTTGCGACAGAACTCTGCGATTATCATGAGAGAAAATTTACAGACTAAACCTTTGGAACATGTTCAAAACATAAGCAGAGGCCCACATCTGTTTTGAGACATTTTGGAAATTAGGGTGGCTGTGGCTGGATGGTTAGGGTAGTTGTTCCTCTAATGCGAGAGTTGGTGGTTCAATTCCCCGCTATTCTGATGTACACTCACCGGCCACTTTATTAGGTACACCACGCTAGTAACGGGTTGGACCCCCTTTTGCCTTCAGAACTGCCTCARTTCTTYGTGGCATAGATTCAACAAGGTGCTGGAAGCATTCCTCAGAGATTTTGGTCCATATTGACATGATGGCATCACACAGTTGCCGCAGATTTGTCGGCTGCACATCCATGATGCGAATCTCCCGTTCCACCACATCCCAAAGATGCTCTATTGGATWGAGATCTGGTGACTGTGGAGGCCATTTGAGTACAGTGAACTCATTGTCATGTTCAAGAAACCAGTCTGAGATGATTCCAGCTTTATGACATGGCGCATTATCCTGCTGAAAGTAGCCATCAGATGATGGGTACATTGTGGTCATAAAGGGATGGACGTGGTCAGCAACAATACTCAGGTAGGCTGTGGCGTTGCAACGATGCTCAATTGGTACCAAGGGGCCCAAAGAGTGCCAAGAAAAGATTCCCCACACCATGACACCACCACCACCAGCCTGAACCGTTGATACAAGGCAGGATGGATCCATGCTTTCATGTTGTTGACGCCAAATTCTGACCCTACCATCCGAATGTCGCAGCAGAAATCGAGACTCATCAGACCAGGCAACGTTTTTCCAATCTTCTCTTGTCCAATTTCGATGAGCTTGTGCAAATTGTAGCCTCAGTTTCCTGTTCTTAGCTGAAAGGAGTGGCACCCGGTGTGGTCTTCTGCTGCTGAAGCCCATCTGCCTCAAAGTTCGACGTACTGTGCGTTCAGAGATGCTCTTCTGCCTACCTTGGTTGTAACGTGTGGTTATTTGAGTCACTGTTGCCTTTCTATCAGCTCGAACCAGTCTGCCCATTCTCCTCTGACCTCTGGCATCAACAAGGCATTTCCGCCCACAGGACTGCCRCTCACTGGATGTTTTTTCTTTTTCGGACCATTCTCTGTAAACCCTAGAGATGGTTGTGCGTGAAAATCCCAGTAGATCAGCAGTTTCTGAAATACTCAGACCAGCTCTTCTGGCACCAACAACCATGCCACGTTCAAAGGCACTCAAATCACCTTTCTTCCCCATACTGATGCTCGGTTTGAACTGCAGGAGATTGTCTTGACCATGTCTACATGCCTAAATGCACTGAGTTGCCGCCATGTGATTGGCTGATTAGAAATTAAGTGTTAACGAGCAGTTGGASAGGTGTACCTAATAAAGTGGCCGGTGAGTGTATGTCGAAGTGTCCCTGGGCAAGACACTGAACCCCTACAGTGTATGAGTGTGATTTAAAGCACTAATTAGTCTCTATAGATTGATTTATCTATATTAGCTTTGTAGTGAGATCTAATGGAGTGCTGTATGAATGGGTAAATGAGGGCACAAATTGTAGTGTGAAGCGCTTTGAACATCTTGGTTGGATAGAAAGGCACCATTTACAGTTAGGTCCATTTATATTTGGATACTGACACAAATTTTGTCTTTTTACCTGTTTACTGAAACATATTCAAGTTAGAGTTATATAATGAACAATGACATAAAGTCCAGACATTCAGCTTTCATTTGAGGGTCTCCAGATTTAAATTGGACGAAAGGTTTCGGAGTGTCAGCTCCTTAACATGTGCCACCTTGTTTTTAAAGGGACCAAAATTAATTGGACTATTGACTCCAAGGATATTTCATGGATAGGTGTGGGAAATCCCTTCCTTATGTCATTCTCAATTAAGCAGATAAAAGGCCTGGAGTTGATTTGAGGTGTGCTGCTTGCATTTGGAAGGTTTTGTTGTGAAGTAAACATGCGGTAAAAGGAGCTCTCCATGCAGGTGAAACAAGCCATCCTTAAGCTGCAAAAACAGATAAAACCCATCCAAGAAATTGCTACTATATTAGGAGTGGCAAAATCTACAGTTTGGTACATCCTGAGAAAGAAAGAAAGCACTGGTGAACTCATCAATGCAAAAAGATCTGGGTGCCCACAGAAGACAACACTGGTAGATGATGGCAGAATAATCTCCATGGTGAAGAGAAACCCCTTCACAACAGCCAACCAAGTGAACAACACTCTCCAGGAGGTAAGCGTATCAATATCCAAATTTACCATTAAGAGAAGACTGCATGAAAGTAAATACAGAGGGTTCTCCGCACACTGCAAGCCACTCATAAGCATCAAGAATAAAAAGGCTGGGCTGGAGTTTGCTAAAAAACTTCTAAAAAAGCAGCACAGTTCTGGAAGAACATTCTTTGGACAGATGAAACCAAGATCAACCTCTACCAGAATGATGTTAAGGGAAAATTATGGTGAAGGCGTGGTACAGATCATGATCCAAAGCACCACATCATGTGTAAAACACAGCAGAGCAGTGTGATGGCTTGGGCATGCATGACTGCCAGTGGCACTGGGTCACTAGTGTTTATTGATGATGTGACACAGGACAGAAGCAGCCCAATGAATTCTGAGGTATTCAGAGCCATACTATGTGCTCAGATCCAGCCAAATGCAGCCAAACTGAYTGGTCGTCGTTTCGTACTACAGATGGACAATGACYCAAAATATAAAGCCAAAGCAACCCAGGAGTTTATTAAAGCAAAGAAGTGGAATATTCTTGAATGGCCAAGTCAGTCACCTAAATGTTGTCTCTGTCCAAATATATTTGGACGTAACTGTAAGTACAGTCCATTTACCATTTACCATTCTCTGATGAATGCCTTTTGACAGCTACTCTTCAGCAGTCACAGCTGAGTGAGASACAGGCTTAAAAGATAATCCTAACAAAGCATTGATACGTATCATTGCCAAACAGATATGACAACCAGAACAGTGAGACATATTTTTTTGTGTTCAATGCATAACTCAKTTCTTAAAATTCAGTGGATTCCTCTCTCTCTATGACCTCCACAGAGAGTTTCAACTAGACACTGCCAAACACAAAGACATATTAAGAAAGAATCACTTTTAACAAACATATCTGGTTTCCAGACACGGATGAAAGTGGAAAAAGTGATTGTTTTATATACCAGACTGACTGAACTTGTTTGGCAAACAAAGAGAACCGAGCTGTGGGAGACAAAGAGCATTGGTGTTATCTGGACATGGATAAAGCAGCTTGTTGCAGCAGGGCGGATCAATGTGAGKGGGCCTGGTTCAATAACAAGCAAGGCTAAAGCGTTTGAGAGCAGTCTGTGAGTTATCAGTGCACCAGTGTCAAAAGTCTCCTCCCTTCTCTGTTTTTGCTTCACTTTTATTAAAAAAAAGTCTTCAATGTTAATCACCACAGCAAGACCATCCTGTGCCCTCTGACCCTTCYCTCTGAATGACATCATAATTTAATTACCAAGTCTCCAGGGCTTGTTAGAAGCAGAGCTGCAGACCTAAATCTGCACACTCAATACAAACTTCACTGTCTTATGTGAGTCACACAAAACCAAATTCTTATTTTCAAGTTGTGAATCGACCGGCTTTTTTTTATTTTAGAAAGTCTCTTACCAGGTTAGTCAGCTGGGAGAGCTGGTTCTTGTGGATATCCCTCCTCGCAACATGGTGCTCATGGGCCTTCAGTGCCAGAACGGGAGACTCTGTGGACATTCGCTGGAGCTTAAAAAAATAAAAACACCTATTAGAAGAACCCCACACATACAAACTACACTCTCTTATGATATCAGCATGCCCTAAGCTTTCTACTCATTCAGCAGTAGCATTGGGATCTTTTCATTCCAACATGGCATTTCACAGAGAAGGACATTCAGTCACAGCTACAACKAACGACCTCTCCCAGCCGAGCTCRAAGTCTGCTAAGTTTCACATGTAAACATAAACAACTGTACAGAAAGTCTTGGCCCACAGAATCCTAAAGGYTTCTCGGTTTAAAAGGGTGTTGCTGCATGCTGAAGATGAGTGATCGTAGCACTGGTTGAGGTGGTTCTTCAGGCTGCGCTGAACACAGGGAAGAGCTGCGGGTTCAAAGCAGCGGTGGGGTAAGTGTTCCGGGTGTGGCAGGGAAGCTGGGAGGAGGCGGGTGGGTGAGTGTGGGCAAAACACGAGAAATCATGGAAGAGGGACGACCTGTAATTAAGCCTGATCTGATCCCCGAGAGGTGTGCGTGTGCATGAGAGATGCTCACCCTGAGGTTCAGGTGGTTCATGTTTTTGTCCGCAGTGCAGTTAATGGAGCCTTCGGTGRAGAACTCCAGGGGGTAAAGGAGAGTGTGGTCCTGTAAACGCAGAGGGCACCGCAACTCCAGTACGGTGTTGCTGATCTGACTCGGGCCGTTGTTCACAAGCTGAAAAAACAAAACAAAACAGAAGAAAATACCAATTATAAAGGTCGGATGGAAATCTTACCTGGGATGTCATTTAAAAAATTGGTAAAACTAATCTAAACGATTCTGCAGGCAAATCCATAATCACTGCTTTTAGTTTGAAGGCTGCTTTCGCTGTGCTTTTATTTTGAATACAAGTGAACATTTACTTCAGCAGTGACAGTATAAAAATAGCAAATATTTCCCCTGTTACACACAATTGATTAAGTAAAAAAGTCAGTAGTGCGAAATAACAAAAAAAGAAGCAACAATTTAACAAAAGTATATACATAACAATGTCAACAACACAACAAAACATAACTTCCATTACACACGGGCATGATGTAGACGACTACGTGACTAACGACTGGATTCTACTGGAACTACTGGACTGCATTCCTGACTTTATTTTTCACCGTTTTGTGAAAAATAAAGTGACAACAAAAGAATCAGCCTCATTGTATCGTATCAATCTGATACTGATACTCATCTTGGTATTTATGGTATCAGTACTTGAATCAATACGTCCACCCCTTGTAGCAGCAAAGTCTGTATGTCAAAGTCTGAGTTTGTAAGAGTTTTCGTACTTACCATAATGTTAGCATTCAGTTACAAAAGCAAACAAATAGAACTGATAAAGAATGCAGAGTTTGTAACAAGATTTTGGTTTTCCATATGAATGAACTCAATGGAAGGAAATTTTGTCTCTGATTAACTGAATTAAGGATACAGTCTTATATTTTATACAATGTGATCAATTGTAGTCTATCACTTTAAACAAGAAGAGAATTAATATGTTTCTGCTCAATGCGTCCCTCTGCAGTATAAACAAGGGTTGTTGATATTGTAAGGTCTGTAAAATGTAACACCCCCAGGGGGTGTGACCAGGATGTTTGGGTTTTGTGAAGCACACCTAAGTTTTTAGTCTTTGTGGAGCGTTTATAGTAAACAGATGCGGGACTGTAAAGGTCTATTGTTTAATTTTGACAAGACTAAAGGCCTAAACATACTCCTTCCGAAGTCGACCAGACGAGGCGCGGTCATGTGGTTGTTCAGTGTTCGTTTTCGCACTCACCTTTTAAAGAGACACACCGCACCGAGCTCCAGGGAAACCCCTCCTGCAGCAGTATACGTCACTGCCTGGGGTTTCTTCCAGCTGGAGTCTACAATGCCGAAAACAGGTCAGAGACCTGTCACCCGACAACATTTATGCGCAAACCTGTCTCAGTTAAAGCTCCAGTTTTTATCAGACAGACTCCTCCGTGCACAATGCCTGTTTTATCTTCATTCTGTTAGACTATCTTTATGAACAGTCGGCTTCTAGAAGCGAGTCAGTTTTTTATTTTTTTTGAAGCGAGTGGTTGAAGCAAAATGTAGCGTCAGTGCTTTCAGCAGAAACAAACAGTCCCACAAACTGATCAATCACATAATAAGTTCTTATGTGGAGGGGGTAAAAAGTTCTGCCGGATGGTTTGTAACAAAGGGAGTGGTCAAGTTGACGCTGAGAATATGGTAATTTTCATCGTAAAACTGCGACAATCTGAGCCAGTTTCAGCAGTTYGGAGGGAGTGTGAAGTAGGCTTTAGGGCCATACAAAAAGGCACTGGAAGACAGTGGCTCTGAACAATGAGATGGAAGAAGAAGAATAAAGTTTTTACAGAGAATTCACCTGTTTTTTGCGCAGTTATTCAGGCTTCCAAGTTTTTAACACATTTTCTTACAAGAGAATATTGTTTTATGTATCTAAAATGAGCCACTGTTTTAATAAAAACAGAAGAGTTCATCTTTTAATTTTCTATATTAATTTCCTATTTAAAGCAGAAGCTGCAATGTTACAACAGTTTTTCTCCCAGCATCACTCTGTTTTTTTGGAGTTCATTTTTAAAAGGAGTTTCTTTTGTATTATTCTTTACTGCTCTACAAAGTTTTACTTTTTTTTCTTGATTGAACAGGAGGCTCAGTCTGCCCCGCCCTGATGAATGTACCTAACTAAGAGCATAGCTGATTACCTCATAAATGTGTTCCACAGCAGGCCCCACATCCTGTTCCACTGCATACGTTTTGGGCACTTTCCAGTTGGCCAGGGGAAAGAAAACCTTATCTGGTCGAGACACACTTTAAAAAGAGAAAGAGGGCTGTGAGAACAAGTGCAGGGAGACCTAATGAAGTCCCAGAAGTTTGAAAAAATAAATCTGCTCATCTCACCCCTGAAGAATGACATCAGCCTGAACAACCACCTCCAGCTTGTAGGACACAACTTCACTGTTGGAATTGTTCTCGTTTTTACTGTGGAAACAGGGAAGAGGARAAAATGATCCTGATTAGCTGAAGTCGTTTGAAAGGAGTTGGGATGGATTCCGTAAATATTAAACAAGCTGTTTCTTCTGCATGGTAGGCTTAATTGTACCTGCGTATCTGAACATCAAACTGGACAGTTTTGTGTGTGTCCTTTAGCCGTGGCACAGTGAAACGCAGACCTGCCCAAAGCTGTGAAAGTCAAACATAATATATAGATTGTTTACACAAAGCTCAGATATATTACTTACATTTTTACTAAGCAGGTTGTATAAAAAATAAGGATTTTAGAAAGATGAACATTTGTTAAAAATATTTTTGCTAAAAACAGCTCTGCTCTGTTTGAAACAAATAAGAAACAAATTAGGCATAGAAATGATTCACTTCACATTGTGACTCATCACAGTCTAATTGCTTTATTGTTACAAACATACCGAAGTAATAGTTCAGATACATTGAAAAAGACTTTTGTGGAAAAGTTCAGAATGTTAAATACCTGTTGTATTGTATATTTCAAGCCACCACCTGAGGCAGACGGTTGTGTTTTCAAAGGTCAGGCAGACAAAGAACGAGCAGCAGAAGAAACAGCTTTACAGTGCAGTATGATGGCTTTACGTTTTAGAAAGCTTGTTCCTTGTAAATGTTTTAAATTAAAAATGTAAATTTGACTTTTTAAGAGGAGTAACTAACTTCTAAAGGATGTCTGAAACAAAATTCATGTTAAATTTGTTTAATAACAGTTAGGACATTAAACAGYAAACTGAAACTGTCCTCGTTTCTCCATATCTGAAATGGATCTATCCTCAGATTTTGTGTCAGAAATCTGGTCACATTAAGGTAAAATGTATTTATTTTATTACCAGTTAAAAGCTAAACTCAATCCTGCCCCTTCCCTAATATAATATTATTGTAATAATAATATCTTTTGACTCTATTAACCATTTATTTTTCAAATTATTGATGTTGGTCAAATATCTACTAACCTCTGCTAACACTGATTTAATTAGCTAGCTAGCCTAGTTAATTAGCTTACTAGCTACAGGTTGCATATTCAATGCCGGTGTTTGCTCACATCACAGAACTAATTTGGTATTATCATTTTGCCCTTAGGTTACAAAAGCTAGTATTAGGAAGTTTTGTGTTGTCTTTCAGATGTTTTACCTAACCAATGTAAGTTAAAGTAGGTCCAAAACCTGAAACTGGCTTGAATAGTTTTATGACAAACTGAGGGCATTTGGTTTTGTTTTGGCAATTTCTGTGTTGCTGTTTTGTAAATGATATGAAGATGTTTATCGTTCCTAACCTGTCCACAGAACCACTTCAATAAATATGAAAATGTTTTAAGGTCATGTAACCAACAGGATTCTAATTTGGAGAGGAAATCATAAGATCATAATTTTTCAATACAGGTTGAAAAATTATTGTTTTGTCTTTACCTTGTTAACATTTAGTTGTCAGGTTTCCACTGCAGACCAGTTAAAACATTAACACCAGTTTTTGACCTAGTCGTTAAAAAAGAGGAACTTTTCCCAGCAGGAAGCTGAAGTTACAGGTGAAATCTTCCCTTTCCTGTCACATTTCCTAACACATGCCAATATTTCCTGTGCTATGCACACCTCAACCCACATACTTCATCTTCTAAACACCAACAATTTCCTTTTTAAAAGGGCGTTACACCATTTTTCGCATAAACCGAAACATTGTTCTTACGTTGGTACCAGCCTTCATTGGGTTGCCCAGATCACAGCTGAGGTAGCGGGTCTGGTTCTCGGTCTCATAGCTGCAGGTGAGCTGGGTTAAACTCTAAGAAGAAAGAGGACATGTCAACATATTAGCTCCAGAAAGCTGCAAATTATTTATTCGTATTTTGGTGTTCTCCCATCTTACCTCATTGTTACGAGCAATACCGGTGTAGTCAGACTCAGGGGGTAACACTACATGCAGCTCTGCCTCATAAGCTCCTCCCTCTCCTTCATTCCTGGCATTGAAAGTCAAGGTCACCGAGTTGTCATCACCGAGGTAGACTTCCTTTCTGTCACTGTGGKGCCAATCAAAGCAAAAATGAAGATTAATTGTCAATTGATGAATTTCTTACAGATTTAATATGGKTCTAATTGTGTTAGAGTACTATGGTAGTACAGTAGTAAAATGAGGAGTGATCATTGCTATGTTTCTTATAGGTTTAGAAATTAGTGAGGCGACAGAGGCGACAGGAAGTGGGTGTTTGTTCTGCTACCGGTAGATTGCCGGTTCAAACCCCCACCCTATTCATCTGTTGTTGTGCCCTTGGGCAAGACAGTTCACCTGCCCTGCCCGCTGGTGGTGGTCAGAGGATCTGGTGGCGTTTGTGCATGGCAGCCTCCATGCACCGACGGATTTGATAAGGCACTATGTAAGTTCAGGCCATTTACCATATGAAATTTTGAAGCCTGCAGCGTTTTAAGATGACAAAATTAGCATTTTGTTGTCTTGGTGGGAAATGGGCATGGGCGTGCCATTTTTTGCTCATCAATAATRTTCAAATAGACCCCTTCAAATGTGCAGAATTTCCTAGTGGTTCATAGTAGCTTTATTTGTTAAACCTTTACGTTGTTGCAACCTGGAGTTGCACCAAATTATTTTTAGTTTATTTTTTTCACCTGTTTCCACCTCAGTCTAATTATTCACAGAGGTGGGGACTCGAGTCACATGACTTGGACTCRAGTCAAACTCGAGTCATTAATTTTAAGACTTTAGAGTTGACTTGAAAAAACGTTCAGAGACTTAGACTTGACTTTGACACCAATAACTTGAGACTTGAATTGGACTTGAACCTGTTTACTTGAAAAGACTTGATATTTTATCCCAACTCTAAAGTTTAAAACATATTTATAAAGTGCGCCCCATTAATTCATTTCACGCACTCTGTACAACCTCACCGAGCCTGTCGGCACATTTTGTCATCCTTTTTTTTTAAACTGTAAGTTCTCGACCGTTTGTGCAATCTGAAAAATCCCAATGGATCCTGAAAGCCAGGAGTCTGGGCTTTTCGCAAATATAAGGGGTTTTACGGTAACATCACGTGATCGGTTGCAGGAAGCCCGGTAAATAAAGACATTCGGTGGTGCAGTGTAATGGAAAGTTATGAGCAATTGCGTGTTTTCTTTTTCGAAGCGGAGAGGAAACATTTTCTTAGAATAATATCTGCAAGATGTTCTTCAAGAGTCATCAAGCCATCACGGAGGTTCCAGGATGATTTTGAGACCTAAGAAGACGTTGAGGAACCGGCTTCTTGTGAAGAAATGTAACGTAGTTTATGGAGTATCTGAGCACATCACTCTTGTGAATGAAAGTTTTTAATTTTATGTTTTATTTTATGAATATTTGAGCAGTTGTTTGTATGCTTATTTTCATAACAGTGTAACCAGTAAGTTATTTTGTACAATATATGCGTATTTAGAGTTAGTGTGTGTAAATACTGTGCGCATTACCTCCAAAACGCATTGGGATGTGGATATTTTTTAATCCTACACCAATATTAAATCTGACAGCGGATTCCGATGGTGATCACAATATGAATAATTTATTCATTTTGCGATCACCTGCGTAAAGCCGCAGTGACTTCCTCTTTAAGAACCGCCCACGCTCAGTGTGTGTGTTCGTTTCACAAGACCCAAGTGCAGCAGTTCTCCAATACTGCATTACATTAGCCCATCACGAGGCGTTTAATCCCGCTGAGGACAACTTTTTTTCAAATCGTCGGGTTTATGGAGTTAAAACTGCTGAAGCCGAGCTGATAAAAAAGATAAAAGACTGCAGGACACGACGCCGGAAAGTTCCGTCCCGTCGTTTCCCAAATCAGGAGAAACCCCTCGCGCACGCTGATGACGCAACATCACTAAACAACAAACAAAATGTAAGTCTCCTACAAAACCTTAAACTAAAATTAATGTATAAATAACGTAAAACTACAGAGAACCAATTATCTTGTTTTCTTTCAGTAAACCACAAAACCTAAAACACACCAGCCGTCTTAAAACAAACTCGTCAAAAAGTAAGTTTGTTTCTTGTTATTAAATCAAATGAAACGACATATGAAAACAGTAATTGTATTATTTTTGTGTGTTTTAGCTCCTGTAATGTGGAGGGTTTTTTTGTATGAGTAGTTTTTTTGTGTGTGTGTATTTTGTTTTGTGGGAGTGTTTTTTTTGTTTTTTTTTTGGTGTTAAGTTAATCTTAACACCATCAACCTTTGCTTGTGGAGCCAAGCCCTCTTTGTGTTTGTGAAGTCAGACCACCATCTTCTTGCTTGTGGAGCCAAGCTGGAAGCTTATTTGTTTATGTTGAACTTTGAATTTAAGTGGTTTTCACACCAATCATGGGGGGAGGGGGGGTGTATTGTTTGTATTTATATTTTTCTATTTTGTTTGTTCTATTTTGTTTTGTAAGAAATATATTTGAAAAAAAAATTTTTTTCCTTTGTTTGTGCTCACTTTCTTTGTTTAAGCATATTTTTTGTTACTAAATATTTAGTTAAAGTTGAAAGGGTGTGTAGTTATATTTTCTTTTTATGTAATCTACATGTCCTTGTGTGTATGGTTAAACTAAAAATAACTCTAAACCATATTTGTTATAAAACAGTTTAAGAAAACCATAAAATAGTTGCTAACATCCTACATGTCAGGAGGGAAACCTGGCTGGCACCCAACTTAATTAATCAAATAAATAGCAATAAAATCAGTAAAAATAAATAAATAAAAAAAAGGAACCGTCACAACATCACAGTTTCATATTACACAGATATTTTTTGACRATACCCCAGACTGCAAGATAAAGCTGCTTCTGCATGTGCTCAAAAATAACCACAGACTTCCATGATAATAACTGGTGAACGCAAAGTTTGTAAAAGTTGAAAAAATATAGCATTTATATGAATGAATACATTTGATTAAACAGCTGGATACATTGTGGACTAGAGCCTAACAGACAGGATAATAATCATTGATAACATTTTCACAGAACCTACTTTCCTTTTCTTGTGATTACATAAAACATCAGATCTGCTGTTGACCTGAAAGTCAACCACAATCTTTGTGAAACCTAAACACAACTAAAGACTAAAAAACACCACAAAACCTTCAARCCTCCCTGAGGAATCCTTGCACTAATAGGTTATATGATTTGGCAGCAGAATAAAAGACTGTAGGAATGATGAATAACCAAATTTTGACAAATTCTACTAAATTGTTGTCATTCTGTCAACTCCTCCAAGCACTGTTACATTTCTGTGATGTAGTACAGAACAGACGCAAACAACAAGGTTGGGCTAAATTGCACTAATCACACTTTCTACATCTGTTGGCAAGCAGATTATTTCATGTGTGACAGATCGGCCATACGTTTTTAAAAAATGGAGGCAGATGGTAGATAAATATAGGAATGTGAAATCAAAATGACAGAGCAGAAAATGGGAGCATCAGGGAGGTTGTTATTTTTGAGAAAAATGCTAACAGATTTCTTGAATCAGAGTGTGGTAACCCCGGGTGCTCCTGACGGCTTCGGAGACCAACGAGGTTGCTTTCTGGCAAACAGCTATCCAAACACTTTCCTTGATCTCCTCTGTCAACTATTCAGCAAATGAAGAACAGTGCTGCTTACTGTTTTCACAAGATGGCGTGACACTCTGCTTCAATGTTGCGGCTATTAAAACTTACTTTCTGGTATGTTCAAACTAAACAAAGCAGCCGGAGCAAGAAAAACAGCTGCATTCATGCTTTATCACACAAATTGAAAAGGTCCTGTTCGGGCAGGAAGGACTTGAAGAGTTCAGCGTCTGTGACCCTGTTCAGAGTTTACTGTGCATATTGCAATAAAATCTACTTTATTTCCTGAAACCATCTGCTCTGGGACAAAAACAAGGATATGAACAGACTCACCTATAAACTGCAAGCTTCAAGTCAGGAACGCAGATGTTGTCCTCTCCGCAGTCCAGCAGAATCTGAGCCTAAAAGGGCAAATGACGTTTTTTAATCAAATTTGCCATTAACGGTTTACAGTTGAATTTGCTTATCTGTTAGTAAAATATTTCATGAATTTCTGCACAGATATTAATGAAACTTTCTGAAAAATAAATTTGAATGCACATCTACACAACACAACATGGCTGACATTAGCAAACCAAGAAAATGTTTGAATTATGTCAGCTGTAGAGATGTTGAGTCATTCACATCATTCCAAATTAGAAATTTTCATAATTTTTCAGGTTTGACTAACCTTTATAGCAGGGCTATTCAACTAGTGGCCCGTGGGCCACATCTGGCCCACAAGTGACCAAAATGTGGCCCACCATGTGGTTTATTCATCTCTTAAGTCCACATCCCTGGTTTTCTACCTTAATTGCTAGAAGTTATTTTAGGTGGACATAGACATGTTTGGTATCTGCAAAAACGTCATATTCTTGGCTAGAAGCTGGTAAAAACCATTTCTATGAACATCTAAGAGAGTCAAAACTACAAGCAGTTGAAGATAAAACTATGAAAGTGAAAATAAAACTGGTTTTAAAATTTAGCAAATGTCAAAAATAATATTTGTGTTAAAAAGGAGCCATGATCTTATTTTTAGGGATGCACCGATATGAAAATTTCAGCCGATATCGATATCTGATATAATTATTGCTGTTATGGCCAATAACCGATATTTACTGATATTACACAAACACACAAATTATATTGTACATATACGCAAAAACACACTTGGGTCTTTTTTGATACTGTAAATAAACAACCAGACCTCTGACATGGCTCCTTACTTCAGTTATTCCTGACTATGCAGCGTCAGTATTACTATCACGATCAAACAGATGCCGCTCAACCAACCAGCTCCCCTCCCAAAACAGAAACTAAAGCTAAAAAGTGGGAAATCAATATTGGACATTAATATCGGCCCAGTTTTACATATCAGACTGATACCGATATTCTAAAAAATTACCAATATCGGCCGATACCGATTTCAATACCGATATATCATGCATCCCTAGTTATTTTTGTTTTTGATATTGTTTTACTATCACTACATACTGGTTGTATGTTATATCCATGATTAAATGCAGCAAAATAAACTAATTCAAAGGTAACAGAGTTTTGTAATAATTGGTGTATTTACAAAATGACTGGATATTCGGCCCCTGTCTGCATTAACTGTGGCCCCCCAGAGCAATTTAGTTGAATAGCCCTGCTTTATAGTATTGTCATTATTAAACATAGATTACTTCAAGAAATGCTCGGCCTTTGTGAATGTGAAAATAGCACATGCTACATCATCCTTCTGTTAAAAGTATACAACCTGATTTGTGCGACAAGATCCAGCATGTACCGTGACTAACACATTCCACCCCTGCCTCCGACCACTAATACACACACACACACACACACACACACACACACACACCTGGATAACCTCTCCAACAGTTTTGTCAGTATTGTCTGAATTGCAGCCCAAGCAGACAATACTGTCTTATAGATGTGACGACGAGCACAGACACACTCCCATGAATCAGCTGTCCTGACACACACACACACACACACACACACACACACACACACACACACACACACACTGTTTGGTTTAAAAGGAGGGAAATAATGAGCAGTTCAGAGATGCTAAGCGTGCAGCTGCCAGCTCCCAGCTCTCACCCACGCCCCACATCACAGCCCAGTGTGGTGAACCGCGCTTTCGCCGCACACTTCACCACCCTGCCAACCACAGCTGTATACAATCATATAGAGAGGGAGGAGCCTGCTCCTTCGAGGGCATGCTGGGACGTGAGATATCTGTGTTGAACTGGAAACAGGGCCGAGGACGTAGAGATTATACTTTGGAGCAGAAACGCTACTGGATGATTGCGTGACCACCAAACATGTGGCAGAGCGGCGGCAGGGTTGCATCTCACTGAGACTGACAGTATGATGATGAAGATAAGGATAATAAATAGAAAGGGAGAAAAGATTAAAGAGAGCAATGCGCACCCCTTGTTATTACACCATCAAGGGGCTTTAATTATGAACACCATGGTAACCACAATGCTAACTTGGCCACATGTTCACCCTAGGTTGCATGTCAGTATAAGACTGGAAAACACTGTTGTTGTCCCATCAATGTACTCCAGTGACATCAGCATGTGACACAATGAAGCAAAACGAATATAAATAGAGCCCATTTATCAGAGTCATACTCATTTGATCACATGATATTAGTTTAAGAACAGTGAGGCCATTGATCTACAGTTTGAACCATTTCCACATTCCAAAAAAACAATATCTATAAATGATATAAATTCATAGATCCCTCAGAACTCCACTCAAAGATGTGGAAAATGTTCAAACGAGAGAGAGAGAGAGAGAGAGAGAGAGAGAGAGAGAGAGAGAGAGAGAGAAGCTGCTCCAGGAAGATCAACTGTCTCGCTACAGCTTGAAAAGAACTTGGCACAGCTGTTGAAATGTTACATGGCCCGCTGCATATCCTCAAAGCATATGTGGAAATCAATAGAGCAACGTGAGTCCGATCAGATCCAAGGCTGTGGTATAATGGTCACTCTCCACTGTTTCTGCATAGCTGCTTTGACCCAATATGAAGCGAGATTAATAAAACATGTTAGCAGCCTGACTCACACGTTTTTAAACAGACACGCACAAACAGAAAGATCGCATTCACACCTTCTGATTTAATTTTTCTTTTCTTTTTTTTGAACTTTTTTGACAGTTTGAGGATTGATGTTAGAGCGAAGCCTCATCTCAAGGTTATGGTTCAAAGACGAACCACATCTGTTGGAGGCCAAATTGCTTTGATATCTAGAAGAGACACGGATGAAAAAGACCAATAGAAAGTAGTTTGAAACACATTGGAACAAAGAAAAAAGTAAAAGAGCAAAAAATGGGGCTCAAATTACACTGATTGCATTTTCTAAATGTTCTAATCTGATGGGCATTACTGAACACTCAGATGATGCAGGCTGCACCAGAGATGAAATGATGCATGTTTAGCAGATTTTAAAAATGGCTGAATATAGAAAGTCTTGAACCAAATGAGTCAGTAATCGTGTTTCCATCCAATTACATCCAATTTTAATTCGAATTTTGAACTAATTTTAATTATTTCGCAAAAAGGAAAAAATTAAGAAATGCAAATCAAACGGAGTTTCCATCAACTGGCTTGACGCAAATCAATTACGTCATATGCATGTGCGTAGTAAACAGGAAGTAACTGTTGCTAAACTCGCAGGGTCCAATCATCTCAGGATAATGGAGAGAAGTTATCATGAATGCGTTTCTACTATCAGGAAAGTTGTAATTATTCTGTTATCAACTAGTTTTGGCGATGTTGCTGCTGTCTGGAGACGTAGAGAATGAAATGCAATTTTCTTCACGTTACGGGATTACTGAGAAGACGCCGACAGCGGGAGGAGGGTTCTGCTGCCAGTCGCGGCTGCAGCCGACCTAAAACTGGTTCCGGTACTGTGGAACGGCTGATCAGCTACGTGAGGTAAATGTTGGCTACGTCACAACTTATTCGGCAAAAGTTTTTCCATCTGTACTTTTGCGCATTAAGTGTTTATCGAAAAACCCAAAAACCACCTCAAGCGAGCGTAAAAACTTTTTAGTGAATTGAGGATTTTTTTTTTCCAATTTTGCTGTTTCCATCCGACTTCTAAATGCACATCAAAAAGCCTTGATGGAAACACACAGAGTGACGCGGTTTGTAGCTCATCCTGTAGTATCAACCACTATGTAACATTATCCATGAGTACTCAGACAATAGTCATGTTCTTGTTTTTTATGTGCATTTTGAAGTATTGCATTAGAAAAGGTGAATAGAAACGGTACGATTCAGAAAAAAAACTTGCTCGATTTTGCAAAAACATTTTTACGCTCGCTTGAGGGAGTTATGGGTTTTTTCAAAAAAGAGTCAATGCACAAAAGGAGAGACATTTGCCAAATAAGTTCTGACGTAGCGATCAGCTGTTCCTGCTGTCCAATGATTGTAGCAACTGCAGTTGGCCCCTCCTCCCGCTGTCAACGTCTTCCAGGATATTCCCTTAATGTGAAAAGAATTACATTTATTTTTCTACGTCTCCAGTCAGCACATCGCCAAAACCAGTTGATATAACAGAATAATTACAATTTTCCCGATAGCAGCAACATGTTCCTGATAACCTCTCCATTGTCATGAGATATGTATCCCTGTGAGTTTGTGACTATACTTCCTGTTTACTACAGCCATGCGTAACATCAACGTCTGATATAATTACTTAGTGTAGTCTGGTTGATTCACTTCAAGCCACTTGATGGAAACACATCTGATTCGCATTTCTTTTTTTTCTCTCTCCTTTTTGCAACATTTTAAAGGTTCGCTCAAAATTCGAATTAAAATTGTATGGAAACATGGCTTTTCACTCCACTACAATTTTCTCTCGCACCTTAAGCAAACAGATTTTAGTAATGAGGTTGTTGCTCTGGCCTGTGGTGCAGATGGAACTAAGCCAAAAGTCATTTCATTGGTTCATCTCTTATACAACTTTAACCTAGGGTAAAGAGCTTAGGATCATGATGGATAAAATGTTTGAAACTAGTTTCCTCTAATATGCAGCCTTAGGTAAATGTCCTCCAGAGGGAAGCTCAGAGTAGAGCTACTCCTCCTTATCAAAAGGCGTAAGCTAAGGAGGTTCAGGGATTTGTTTAGGGTGCCTCCTGGGCACATCCAAGGTTTATCTGAGCATGCCCAACTGAGACAAGATCTTGGAGCAGACCCAGAACTCACTGGAGGGATTATGTACCTCCTCTGGCCTGCGAACACTTGAAATACCTTAGGAGAATATTGGATGGTTCTCTAGGTTCTCTAGGAAAGGGAGGTCTGGTGTACCCTCCTGGATCTGTTGTCTCCAAGGAAGGATAGACGGGCAGAAAATTTAAAATATTCAGTGGTTAGAGAAGGTGAGGTCACCAGTTCAAATCCCGTGTAAAGTAAAATAACTCAGAGCATTTCTGCTATAGTTTATTTAGAAAGGGTTAGGAAGTGGAAACTATGGAAGGTTGAGTGTTCCAAAAAAAACCATAATTTTCATAGATTTTGCAAACGATGGAGAAGCACCGGGAGAAACTAAAAAATCTTCAGCCAAATTTTAGAGCAGCAAAGGAACACAACAGCTGGAGTAGCTCAAATAAGTGGGACTGGAGCCGGTTTAGGTAAATGGAGGTGATCTACAACTGTAGACTGGGACTCTTGACAAACTTCAGAGACATCTGAAGACGGTGAGTGCTTCAAGCTAGTGATGGAAGAAACAGTTCTTTGAAGGAATCTGGATCTCGAGGAGCTGCTCAAAAGAGCCGTTCAATTTTGAACAAGTTAGATCATCACATAGGGAAATACGTCATCACATAGCCGTACATGACGACATCATCATATTACGTGGGTGAAACCACATGTTTTGTCAAACAGAAACCCCCTCCAGCTTTCCTTGTGAGTTGCTGAATGCCACTGTTCTGCCAGTTTTCCATGAAAAAGCAAATCAGGAGCGACTTAAGTATGAAAAAATAAATATTATGTGAGGAATAAAAAATAAATAAATAAAAACGTCTCTTTACTGTCCGGGACTTGGCTCCTATCRTTTTTTGTAAAGAGCCGTTCAAAAGATTCGGATCGTTGGTGAATGTTACATCTTTACTTCATGCATTTTATTGAATGTAATTTGTGGGACACATATCTCGCTTGTGAAATTGTACTTTTTCTTTACAAAGTTTGTACTGATGTGTCCTTTGTGCATGTTCGTTTCTATTGCTAACTAGTTAGCAACTAGCTTGCTAGCAGCTAAATGGCTAGTTAGCGATCCAGGCTAAAAACAATTAAATTCTAGGCTCATCATTGTCTTTTTGTTCAGAGTCAAGTTTGACAAGTGACCAGCTGAGCTCCTGGGACAATTCTTCAACATCGGTACCAGCTGTCTCGCCATCCGGGTCAAGAAAGCCACGGGTCCTGCGGCTACAGGAGAGAGGAGCTTCTCTCTTTACATTTTGACTTTAAAGTAGTTTTTTTAAGTGACTGTGTTTTTTTATATGTTTATTTCTTGTCTGATTTTTATTTTGTGCAATGAAGATACTAGCAGGCAATGCTACTTGTTTTGCGTTAAATCCGGAAGAAAAAAAATCAACAACATAGCCTATATTTACTCACACTCACGGGCATAAAGTGAGCAATAACTGCAAGTTCATTTATAAGAAAATCGTTTTGGTGGTGTTTTACTGCATTTATGAGCAACGGTTTGCTGTAGCAGAGTATGAGTATTATTTACAGACTAAACTTTTTTTATATTTCAATAGACTTAATGGTTAGCTGTAGCGCTAAATGAGCAAAGACCAACAGCAGCTTCAGCTCCTCCATGTTAATTATTCCACCCACTTTTAAACGACGTTACCGCCAGTGGGGACACAAGTTGCAGTGGCAAATCACCTACACCTGAGTAGAACCGATCCGACGAGAACCGAGTGGAACCGTTCTTAACAATGGAAAAATGCCTAAAGAGTACAGGCAAATGTAACTAATGTTAAAGTACCTTCTGCTCAATGACGTCGGTGGTCTGATAGTTGAGGATGGGCCGCAGGCCGTGGGTGTCAGCAGCAGCTTTTGGATCCAAGCTGAAGTTGAAGGCCACGAAAATAGGGGAAAGTTTATCCCTGAAGTCCTTCTCATCCTGCAGTTAAAGAAACACATTGCAGTTTGTGGAAAAAAACTGGGAGATTTTTACTAATGAAAAAACATCTGTTGTTTAAGACCAAATAATAATAATAATAATAATACTAAGTTTGCATTATACAACTTCTATTATTAAACCTTTTTAGATTTTCAAGGCAGGTTTACAGTGAGTATCAAAGCCAGTTCACAAATTAAAATCACAAAAATCCTACTCTCAAGTAGATCTTTGTCTGGTCGCACAGACGCTCCCCGCGGCGCACTCTAACACTTCTCCGCAGCAAAGCCTCCTGGGAATCTGAGAACAGAGCCCTCTTCACTGCACCTTTCTGCTTGTGCTTGTGACTGTCAAGCTGCACCTCCACCTGGAAATCTGGAACACATAACACACAAGTGTGCATTCATGGCCTGATGAATGCCCTGAAGTCGCCCTAATGACAGGTTGGGAAAAAAACCTCCATAAACTTACCGAGACTCACACACAATACAGCCAATGTAACCTTAAAATAATGTCAGGGGTAGCATTCGTAGATGAAGGATGGTGTAATTAAAGACAGTAACTAAAGGCTGATAGGAAAAGTGATAAAACATGGAAAAGGACTGAGCATTAAACAGTCACAGGAAAAAACCCAGAGACCTACAGCTGCAACAGTTGTGATTCTAAAACACTAACATTGTTGGCCAGTTGACAGATTACGTGTAATACAACACAGATGTGGAAAATTGGCTCACCTAGATTGGCTGGTAGGTGTTTCCCATCAGCAGATATGCAGAAACTCAGGTTGACACTGTTTTGGACAGAAGTAACAAAGATTTGAGGAGAAAAGCTAATTTATGAATGCGAAAGGTTCTGGATAAACGTACAACACACACAATAGAGCCCAAAACTTGTTCCCTAACGTTCCCACGTTGATCAGTTTTCCTGTGTCAGCTCCTTACATGGTTTAAACTTACAAAGGGCACGAGGAATAATGGGAATGTAACGAATAACATGAGAAATATTTGGATGTTTGGAGACACGGCTGCCATCTGACCACTTTTGCCAGCTGGGCTGATAAAGTGCTGTGTCTCCATTTCCACCCCACTCGCCCCTCCTTGACACAGAAAGGGATAGCAGAGCTAAGAGGGGTGAAATCGTGCAAAGACTCGGGTTTCAGTGCTGACCAGCCAGTGGCTGACGGTACAAGCCTGTAGCCTGTTTCTCTCYCATGACATCAGCTGCACAACACGGAGCTGCTGTCCAAGTCTGAAAACTCTAAGACCACCCCTCCACCCTTCAACTTACTGCTAACCCCACACGAGACACCCCCCCTCCTTTCCACAACCTACGACTAACCCCACACTAAAGGGTCTAAAGACTACAAGCAAAAACGGGAACAGGAAAAAGGAAAATAGGGAGTAGGAAAAGCAAAAAAAGCGAGAATAAAACAGAAAATATGTCTTCTTTTGAGAAGTACTGACATGCATACGCTCTTGTGTCTGCACAACTGTGTGTGCAAGCTCACAGGAGTCTACGTGTCCTGATGTTTCCCAGCTGTGTTTCACCACTAAACAATATCTCATTCAAAGCAACTGCAAAGACCTCCGAGCCCCTCCCCTCACAAACCTCTTTCCCATTATCCCCCCYGCTTCTCCTTTCACCCCCACCAACAGCTCCTCATCGCCAGGCAACGCAGCATAATCAAGACATATGTGTATACAAGAGTTTCCTTCATGGATCAGGATGTGGAGCAGGGGTGAGGGAGGGAAACCGACACAGAAGTGCAGCGTCGACCACGACAAGCAGCGAGGCACCGTCATCTGTTTCCTCTCCCCCCCCCTGTCTCTGCAGCTGAAATGTGCACATTTGGAAGAGGCCAAAAACCCAGCTAACAATCCTCCTCTTCAGCATGTTAGCACTCAACAGAAGGACGGTAACTGCGGAACAGTCAGAATACAGGTCAAAACCAAGAGCGGATCAGTGCCCTGAGAGCCAACATGAAGGTTATTTCTTATCAGAACTTCCTGGCAGGACAGAGATGTTTATGTAAGGAGGAAATGAGGAAGCACATCTTTTTGTTTTGTTTTTTACAGTGCACAGGCTCAGAAACCGGCTGAGACAGGGACAGAAAGAGCTGGGTGTTGGACAAACTCACCAGGAAACAGGAATGCTGGCATTTTCACTGGTGATCATGCAGTTCTTCTCCTCAGGATTGATCATGGTGGGATAAATTGTCAGAGAGGCGCTGGTGTTGACTATGGGACGGGATCTGTTGATCATAAAGCAGCTTTCATTGAAAGGATGTCGCACTTTTACCTTCACTGCCTAAAAGTAACGGTTTAAACTTTTTAGGTTTATTTATACCTAAACACTTGAATGAAAACAGGGTTATATCAGACTTACAAAGCCTGGTTAGTTGTTTTGATTGTTTATACGTAGAATAGAGCCTTTAAAACAAACTGAGCTAAATAACTGGATAAGGAATGGATTTCAAAACAACAAACCTGTAAAGAACTGCCTTATTAACACCAAATGCTCCAACTATCAGATCTAGAAAAGAAAATTAAGTAACACAATTAGACATTCATAAAAATAGATGATATTGGTCATAATATTGCTGCACATTCAGGTACCTGGGTATCCATTCATGTCCAGGTCCTTAGCTCCTCGGAGGGCAAACCCAAAGCTTGCGGGAACAGTCCCAGCAGCCCACTGGCCCACAATCACCTGAGAGGGCTTTTCCTTAAGACCTTCAGAGTATCCGTTATAGATGTAGACCAGTCCCTGTTGGTCCTCTCCTCCGAACGGACAGCTTATAGCCACATCTTCCAAAAATCAAAAGATCAGAAGATTGTTAGTTTTTGTAACTTTCAGTTACTCACGAGTAAATGGGATGACATAACATACATATTTTGGCAGTAAAAGTGGGGTAAATAGCATTGGAAACTGCAGTCGTTTGTGTCAGATCTTCTCCTTAGAAATATGCATTTTAAGGTCTATCAAAAATTTTAAATATAACTGAGTCATATTTGACAATCTGTGGATTTGACTGGGTCTTTCTAGATCAGTGTGTGATAGGCAGAGGTGGTTAGAGTACTCAAAAGTTGTACTCAAGTAGGAGAAATACGTGACTTGGTTCATTTGAGGAAAGGACAGTTTGTTGTTTGGAGAATTCACAGCAAATGTGTGCATGTAATAGACTTTTGCTGCTGTTCCCTCTTGACTGTTGTGTTTATGTTGATTTTCATTGTTGTCAGTGCTGTAGATGGATGTTGTAACCAGGACATGGGAAAGTTGCACTAGTTGGAGTGCTTGGAAAAAGTGAAGCCCTTTTTAAACAATACTTGGCAGATGACTGTATGAATTATTTATCACAAACTATAAGCGATATAAAGATCAACAAATGCAGTATGAGGCCAGTTAGAATTAATTTGTTGCCAAAGCTGGAAAGAAAAGGCAGAACTAAATCTAGATTAGGTTTAGTTCTTGTTTTACTTCAGACCTGAGCTGTACTCCAATTAGCGGAACTACAAGATACAAATGTTGCATCGCTTCTTAATAAAATAAAAGCATTTTTTGATATAACACAAATAAATACTGATTATATTTGTTTGCTAGTGAAAATTTTCTATCACTAATTTGTACATTTAGACAAGCCAAAGCAAATTACAAGATGATGCTAACTTGTTTTATTTCAAGAGTTTCTGGTAAGTCCAACTCATCCTTCGTACCATTGAAACCATCCTGGTTCAGGTCTCCCAGTGGTGCAATTGTGCTGCCAAATCTCCCAAACACCTGGGTGCCTGTCAGGCGGGGGTGAGTTGCACTCAGCTCCAGCTTTAAAGGGCCACGCTGTAGATAAACGTAGACCCGGCCCATCTCTTCCAGACGACTGTCAGAACCTCGAACCATTAGCATTGGCGCACCCACCAGCAGATCAATCATCCTTCAAATGTCAACAGCACCGTTATTTCAAGTCAAACTGCAATATGCAAGTAAAAAAAATAGCAAAAAAAACTGCATCACGACTTACCCATCATTGTTGATGTCAGTTGTCGCCAGTGCGTAGCCAAAATACGATCCTATCTGTGAACAAATGTGTTTCTGTGAGTTTATTTGAGTAAATGTCAAAAGCTAAAAGCAAAAATCTGGTTTTCATTGATTACATCTTCAAGTTACTAATAACTGTTTACTTCAAGTTTGATTGTTGGATACATACAATAAAAAAACTTGTAGAAAAATGAACAATACTTTTTTGTGGTTTTACAGGTTAGATTTAGTTTGCAGGTGTTTTCTGGTTTTGATTTGTATTTTTCTGTCATAATCTGATCCCAAAACACAGCAGAGACAGTAAATTTTATTACTCAATAATAATTATTTATTAACTTGCTAATAGCCTATAKGCCACGGACATCAGGCCCAGCACTGGATGCCACTCCCAGCACTTCCGGTTCACGGTCAACACAGTGTTAGCGAAAGATTTTTTCACCCAACAACGACTCTTAATGATCTCCACAGTACAGAATTAGCATATTACATGTACCAACATTAACACAGGAGACGCACAGGTCCAGCCAAGTGGAAAAAAAAATCACTCCAAAGTGGATTAAAGCCATAAAAACAAAGGAAAGACGTTCGTGTTTATGGTTCCAGAATTTAGCCTTTTTCACTATTCTGTGGCTGCTTGTTCCGTGAATTGTTCACGTAGAGCTGTGACACTTACATTGTTGGAAAGAGCAGAGTATGGCTTTAAATTTATGGGCTACTTGTATGG